TTCTCAATTCTGAGATCAGTAATCTCATTTAACACATTAGCAAACTGCTCTTGGAGTCGAGAAGTTGAGCACGAATCAGTAGAATCAGCCTCGTTAGCCTATTGAAGGTACATACAAAAATCAATTAATCTCATAGACTAATCCTGTGGAACATAAGAATCTCCTAGATATGCAAAATAATTTGCCATTTAAGTTCAAAGTGTGGTACACAGATTCAAACACAAACTAAAGAAAGAAAAAGAATCACAAATAGTTAAAGAAAGAAAAACAAAAGAATCACAAATGGTTAAAAAGAAGTTGATCACCGTACCCGGTAACGACGCCACTTTTGATGGGTGTCGCATCCACCAAAGAAATTTACCAACTTAATACTGTAGATAGCAGTAAGTCAAGTCGAATCCAGAGGGACGGCAACGACTCTAAATAACCCAAATGATTCAAGAAAAAGATAGTGGAACTAGTAAAATGGAAATAGAATACTGAACTGTCACCTTGGGGAGTGATAAATGTCACTTGATAGAGTGAGCAAACAGAATAGAAAACAAAAAAGGAACCTAGAGTCATCTTCCACTCCTCTCTATACAATTGCGTTATGGTTTTATTTGCTCCTTTTTACCATATGATCTATGCTTGATCAGGAACATATATTCTTTGTAATTCCTTCCAGACAGAATAAAGAGTCCTAGATTATCTAAATTACCTACCTTCCGGTCAGAGTAATTCATTAACCTAAGCCATTGAGTTTTTAAGCCTCGTATGATTACCTATGCCAATGCACCTAACTTCCGTTGATGATTGAAACCAAAGGGTAGATTTCCTCCTTTGTCATAGACTAGATTGAGCAGTTCTAAGGTTATGCTCCCCATTCCAGATCTTTATAACCATGCAAGCATATTCAATCAAGTCGCCAAATTAATTAAAAGGTTAATTAAAGCACCTAACTAGGAGCAATAACTCATATATGAGTATTACCAAAACATACTTGTATAGATAAGAAGGATTAGACCCTAGAGAGAGTTTGGCTACACATAACTACGGACACAAATACAAAAGGATGCATTTCTAGGCATTAAACATCAATACAAAACAAGGAAACAACTAAGAGAAGGAGAGAAGAACTTAAGCAATTTGCTGTTGTCACCAGGTCACTCCCTCGAGTGAGTCTTCTCACTCTCCTGAGTAGCAGGCAGAACCTGCCACCCTAGTTGCTTCTACACACTCCTTTGTGTTTTTATCTAACTCTCTTTCTATTCTACTTGGTTTTTAGATACTTGCAGCTGATTGGGTATATATAGGACTTGGACGAGGTCACTTTTTACAATTTTACTCTCCACAAAATGAGCAACTTGGTAAGTTGTCAACTTGACAAGCAAGTAAAGCAGTTTTGGCAAGTTGAGCAACTTGGCCACTTGAGCAAGCCCTCCTTTTCAGCCACTTGATTAGCAACTTCCAATCAGTCTCCTTACTTGGCCTCCAAACTTCCTTAAATATGATTCTTTAGCTTCTTACTTGTGCGTCTCCTTCTTGGGTTACATGCCAACAACAAGAGCAGCGCCACTTTGGCAAGTGACTATTGTGACAACAATCTTCCACATCCTTGCTCTTCTTTATTCTTTAATCCAGCAACTAACAGGAGCAGGGGCATTGAGCAGCTGCATCAACAGCATGCTTATGTTCAATCATCCTGTTCCCTCCTTCTGTCTTCTGTCTCAACTGCCAATTTAGCCTCCAATCTTTTGCTTTTCTTTTCCTTGTTTCCTGGGATCATCTGCAGCACCAATTCTTGCCTCCAGCAGCAACCATTCTTTCAATTCAATCAAAGGCAGCAGTAGTGCCAGTCAGCAGAGCAGCTGCAACTTTCTTCTTCATATTCTCTTTTTCTACTTGCAGCAACAGCAACTTGCAATGGCGGCAGCAATTTTTCCTTCGGCAGCAAGATTTCAGCTCCTATTTTCTCCTCTGATTGACAGAATCGACAGTAGCAACAGCAACAATCATCACAACAGCATCATTAGCAGCAACTGAAAGCTGCTACTCCTTCCTCTCTTGGATTCTTGCTGCATAATTCAACAACTTGTGATTAAGTTGCAGCCATCTTTACTTCATCAGCAAGGATTCCTCCTCAGGTTCAGCTCCAATTGGTCCTTCCAGTCCTTGATTTTCAGCATCTCCAATTCTGGTCCTTTTTGAAGCTCTTTTGCATATTTTGACCCCAATTTATGCTGATATTCAAATTGGCTCTCTGAGATTCCTGAACTGTAAAAATCACCCCAAAAAGTAAACTAATCCTAAGTAAATGACACTAAAAAATAAGTAAAAATGAGTAAGAAATTCTTGCTAAAAAGGTATATATTTTTATGTTATCACATATCATGCACAAGCATCGAACCTGGATCACAACAATATCCACACAATCACACTCGCATACTTTGCACAAGCAGATCACAAAAACTTCAATAAATATTTTTAAAAGACAAGAAAGTAAATCTTAGAAAGTGAGGTGGGGAACACTCACCTTTTCCTCTTCAGCTAGAGAGTTTCTTCTCCTAGGATTCTAATAGTTTAAAGAAGTACTCAGCCTACTCTGCAGTTTCGAAAGAACAAGTTAATAAACAACATTAATCTTTTTAATCTTTAGTTAGGTCTTCAATCTACTATAAAACTGTCAATCTTGCTATTTTACTGAGTCCTCTGCTAACTATAAAGTAGATACGAAACCTTAGTCCAAATTACATAATACTAGACCCCATATTTCACAAACTAGCCCACAGTTCTCTCTTTTTCATTTCCTTTCTACCTCTCTTAACCCAAATCAGCATAAAAATCTCCTTCTTACCCATTTTTAGTTTAAACAGAACACCACTAACAACAGTCCCTCTATCGGCAGTGGCAGCGTGGATCAGAATTGCGGAGCTATCGATTCACTATTACCACGAAGCCATTCTCAAAACATTGTTAAATCAATTGGAATATTTCTCTAAGCAGATCGGCACACGTTGGCAGCGGAAAGGGGAAAATATGCTCGAGTAGTTGTCCAACTAGATCTTACAGAGGCTCTAAAAGGTATAGTTGTGGTGGATGAAGTAACATACAAAGTTGAATATGAAGACCTACCTACAATTTGTTTCAGTTGTGGCAAATACGGACACCTCTTGGATGCCTGCTCTACTTATCTGCCGGTGACTACGGAGGAGACATCATCGAGCAGCAGACCAGTTGCAACAATGGGGAACCGAGACAAATCACCGGCAATGGAAACTGTAACTAGTTCATCCGGAGGTGAATAAGTTGAACCGCATCGGCCAGCGATTGGCGTAGCGGAGCGGATGCAAGCGCCAAAGAAAGTGTGGAGGGGACCATCCAGCTACAGACCACCAACGGCTCTGAAAACCACCAATACGGTTACTGACACAAGGCGACCTACCTAGGCCACCGGATCCAGATTCAACCCGCTAGCCTCCAAAGATAATATTGAGGAACAATTGGATCCTATTGCTACACCAAGTGGCCAGAAAGAATTTTGAAATCGGTTCATCAACAAGCAAAATTCATCGGCCCAAGCAAAATAATCACATGGGTAAACGGAAGAATGAGGTCAGGGAAATTCCAATTTTAAAGCCCAAGTCGCCATTGGTTTCTGGGCCACCATGTGGACAACCCATTGATGCGAATCAAGTTGCCACCCAAAAGGGCCATTCTTCAACTATCCTTCAACCCATCCAAATGGAAACACAGGCAAGCCGGAAAGATGAAACGACTCAACAGAATATCACATTGAATTGCCTCAATTAGAGAATCCCAACATTTTGTTGTCAAAGCATACAGTGGCTCACATCCCTCACCCAGTCACAGGCTTGACTCACCAATCGACCAAGACACGCCAACGTCCCAACGACCGAAAACCACGGGATGCAACAAATACCTTTAGTATCAAATCAGAATTCAAAGTAAAGGGCGCTAGAGTAAACAAAAGGATATTATGCTGCAAGCTATGGAAGAATTCAAAGAATTTAATCGTAACTAATCCGAGGAGGAACACCCTATTGAGATGAATGAGGGTTGTACCTCTGCCCTGGAGGAGGAAGGGGGAGAACCCCCTGATGCTACCAGTTAATTTCTCAAATCAATATCCTATACAAGACATCCATACCGTTTTGATGTTTGGAAGGATAAAGATTAAGTGAACTAAAAAGATTTCGAAGCACGACACTAACTTATGTGGTGGAGCTATGTGCTAAACCTTGTACCATTAGATGGATTGGAGTATTTCGGCCGAATTTGGGGTGAGCGAAGGAAGAAAGGTAGGTGTATTGTGTAGGGGTGTAAAAGGAAAAATAGTAAATGTCAAAATAGTTATGGTTCGTTTCTCTTTTGATGTAAGAGTTGTTGACGGATTGTACAACTCAAGCTAGTTTTATGGTTGTAAACTAGTAATCTTAGGCACTTTTTCCTCCTCAGTATGTAAAAAAAAAAAAAAAAAAACTAGATGTTGGGCTAATATGAGTTAGTAGAATAAAATTTAATTCTTCACATTATGGTAATGCTCTATTATTATTATTAAATCTTAAATTAAACTACCTTAGGCTTATTTGGCTATTTAAAATTCCAAAAACAAATAATGTTAATACTGTTTAGTACCTTTTATTCACTTAACTAGGTCCTAAAAGTCTCGGGTCTCACAACTCAGCTATACTATACATTTAAATTGTATACTTTGAACTTGATCCCTCATGCTATTGAATTGGGCTGTAAATCAATTGAATTGCTGGTCATATTTTCTTTATAATAAAAATATTTATAAACTTTTTCATCAAATAAGATTATCATAATCTAGGTCAAGTCCAAAGTCAATGAAGCATTAATGCTACGGTTACTAATTACTAAAACGGGGAAATTTTGTTACACATAAAACAAGTTTTAGATTTATTGCTGATAGTACTACCATTTTATTATAAATAAATAGTGAGGCTAAGCTTGAAATCAAACAACAATATTTTTCTGTATAATACTGCTTTAAGTAATTTTGGCGAGGACAACAATGCACTTGTCTCTTTGGTATTCTTTTACACTCTTTGTAATTTTTGCTTTCAGCTTGGGAAGGTCTTTAACAAATGCAAATGAAGAGAAGAAGGTATTCTCAAAATTTTTTTTTTTATTTCATGCTCTTTGTAAGAATTTATTTTTTAAAAAATAGATACACAATCTTCTCTTTCCATCCTGATTAAAATGACAAACGTGAATGAGTTTTATTCAATTATCATTAATTCTTTCGATATACCCATACACTTTAGGTTAACGGAATTTAAGTAAATCCCATGTACAAATTTTCAATTATCAATTTAAGCACATATATAGTTTACAATTTTTTTTTCTCTAATATCAACAGGTGTATATAGTTTATATGGGAGGCTTACCTCTAGATCCAAATTATTCACCAAACGCACACCACTTAAGCATGCTGCAACGAGTGGTCGGTAGCAGGTATACGAGCCCAATTTAATTACATTTTATACCAATATATCATTCTTTTCAATTTTCAGTAAGAACCAGGTACACTGATGACCCTTGAATTTCTCCTTTTGAAGCTATATAGAGAAATCCCTTATCAGGAGCTACAACAGGAGTTTTAATGGATTTGCTGCTCGTCTAACAGAAAGAGAAGCGGTTAAATTGTCACGTTAGTATCGAAACTTAATTTTTTCATATATGATGAGAGAAAGATTTGTGATGACCAAATGTTATAGTGTGATATTATCAATGATTGAATTTACCTTCGTTATTGATTCTATGTTATTGCTACTAATATTCTCAAATAATTAATTAAAATCATTTATATTCATATCCTATTGTACAGGTGATGAAACTGTGATATCAATATTCCCAAGTAAAACTTATCACCTTCTTACAACAAGATCATGGGATTTCATGAGTTTTCCTCAAAATGTACATCGCAACCTTAACGGCGAGGGTGACATTATCATAGGAATGCTTGATAGCGGGATTTGGCCAGAAAATCCAAGTTTCAACGATCATGGTTTTGGGCCTATACCGACAAAATGGAAGGGTCAATGTAAAGGTGGAGATGATTTCAAATGTAACAAGTAAGTTTATTATGTTAATTAATTACTTATATATTTGGGGTACCAAATGAGCACAATAATAATTAATATAAAATCGACCATATATATATAAATGCTTGATAACCTACCCACAGGAAGATCATCGGAGCGAGAACCTACAACAAAACAAGTTGTCGAGATTCCATTGGCCATGGATCACACACTGCTTCAATAGCAGCTGGAAACATTGTTCAAAATGCAAGTTTCTATGGAATCGCCGGAGGCGTCGCAAGAGGTGGAGCTCCTTCAGCTAGGATAGCTGTGTATAAAGTTTGTTCAGAAAGCGGTTGTGATGTCGAACAAATAATGGCGGGATTTGACGATGCAATCGCGGATGGGGTTGATATTTTGTCGATTTCTTTTGGACCAAGTGCTCCTCTTGAACTCCATGAAGACGTTGTCGCCATTGGTTCCTTTCACGCTGAAGAGAAAGGTATCTTAAGTGTGCAAGCCGCTGGAAATACCCGTTTTCAAGTAGCGGGAATTACGAGCAATGCGCCGTGGTTGTTTAGTGTGGCTGCAAGTACTATTGACCGCCGACTTTATACTGATATTGTGTTTGGAAATGGAACCATTTTGAAGGTGTGTACATACATTTAAATTAAAATCATGATACTTAAAAGACTTTCTTTTAATACTTGATTGAAAATAGTTCATTGTTATTTATTTATAATTTACAGGGCCGTTCTATTAATTCTTTCAAGTTGAATGGAACGCAATTTCCAGTTGTATATGGAGCAGAAGCTTCAAGCAAATGTGACCTCAGAGATGCCCAGTAATTAATTATTAAACTTATGATATTTTTGCAAAAATAAGTGATTTCTCCCAGTTATTGAAAATTTAATAGAAATGTTAATTTGTGTTTTATTTTTTGTGCTAATTTTAGGATCTGCTCGTATGGTTGTATTGACCCTAAGTTGGTGAAGGGAAAGATTATACTTTGTCAATCAATTTTCGCAGAAAAAACCAGTTATATAGCAGGTGCTATTGGGTTTATAGCCCCAGTTGATTTTAGCGAGTCATACGTTTCTCCAATAGTTTCAACATTCCTAACAGATGAGCAATTTGAATTCGCAGAGAGCTATTATAGTTCAACCAAGTAAGCACCCCCTATATTATCATAAGTTGTTAAAGTGTTCCATGAAAATATTTCACATTTTTATTGGTACTTGGTTCATTCTAATCTTATTTGTTGTATTGTTTTAATTTAACAAGTATGACTCCTTTTAGGTAAATTAGTTATCACTTCTTGATAAAAGCATTTGAATGTAGATTCCTAATTTGAGACTGAAAAGTCAAAAGATATGTGTTTATAGATAACGTGTTGAAAATTAGTGAAATGTCAAATATTGTGCATTTCATTTCAAAAGAGACTTCGAAACAAGACGAAATTAAATTATGACATAGGCAAGATTATCCTTAACGTTTTTATCTATTTTTTGGATTAGTATCCTTCTACCATAACTGATTTTTCATTGAACATCCATCGATTCACTTTTCTCCTATAGGACTCCAACTATGAACATGTTGAAAACTGTGGATCAAAGAGATTTGGCTGCTCCTTTGGTAGCTGAATTCTCTTCCAGAGGGCCAAATTCACAAATTCTAGATATTTTGAAGGTGTAAGAGAACCAAGTCAAATCAGGCCTTCACCCTCTCTCGTCCAAAATTAGAATCATGTTAGTTGAAACCAGACGAAACTCAAATTTTACGACGGTGAATCAAGTTCTATATGATCCTTGTTTGTCACGTACCATAAATTTAAGATTTCATTCATCCTTGTGCAGCCAGATATAATTGCTCCGGGAGTAGAAATTTTAGCTGGATATTCACCTTATAGTCCTCCATCAGGTGTACCAAATTATGATGTGGATGAGCGAAGTGTGAACTATAATATATTATCTGGAACCTCCATGTCTTGTCCTCATGTTTCCGGTGCAGCTGCTTATGTGAAATCATTGCATCTAGATTGGTCTCCTTCAGCAATCAAATCTGCTTTGATGACTACAGGTAATAATATTAACGTTTTATGTCCCAAAATAATAATCATTAATTAAAGATGTCTAGCTGTTAAATAGTATAAAAATCACTTTTGTTGAAAAAAAGTATAATAATCATTATTTAAAGATGTCTAAATTTTTTGTGTAAGGAATCCTTATTGTCAAAGCTAAGATTATACACAATTCGCTAGTTTAATTGTCATAGGACTAAGCTAATGAAGGGTTTATGTTTACTTATAGCTGATATTTCTCGCATGAATGCTTCTATATCGAAGTATGGACACAATGAATTTTCTTATGGAGCTGGGCATCTTAACCCTGTCAAAGCTGCAAATCCAGGGATTGTGTACAAAACAACTAAAGAAGAATACCACAACTTATTGTGCAGCATGAATATCAGTTCGGACACTGCCACAAAGATGTCAGGATTTAACATTTCATGTGATGATTACCAACGAGGGTTTAAACCCAAGGATCTGAATTACCCTTCAATGGCTTCACCAATTGAATCTGGTCATGGAAAATTTCAAGTTCAATTCAAGCGAAGGGCCACGAATGTTGGTGTCGCTATGTCAATGTACTATGCTAAACTCAGCTGTTATCAGTCACCGTGCAATGCCACTGTAGCGCCGGAAAAACTTGAGTTTAAGGCGCTGAATGAAGAAATACCATTTGTGGTTACAGTTAGTGGGGAAAATTTGGAAAGTGTTTTATCTGCTTCGCTTGAATGGAATGATGGCACTCAAGTTGCCAGAAGCCCAATTGTTGTTTTTAATCCTAAAATTATGGCATCTGCTTGAGATTTTCTTAGGAACTTAGGCAACATGCAGTCATTACCTAATTTGTATTAAAAACTCATATTAATGAAAGTTGTGATCTTCAAAAACTTTTATTGACTTGAAATTAAATTTTTTCAGAATTTATTTATTTATTTTGTGGTGGCGATGTTGTTGTGTGATAGGCCTGCATAATGTTTGAAAGTTGGTGAAACTAATATAATATGTTGTACACGTTCGACTCCGAAATCCAACTTGAGAAATGCGTAAAATGGAAATTTGATTTAAAAGAAAAAGACAAAAAAACAAGGAAAAAAAGTTACAGATCAAATTCCTTTCACTAAGTCATTGTTCTTATTTCTTTCATTAAATCAGCTAATTCCTTAGGAGTATCAGCAACATGCATGAACCCCTTCTACAATTTTTCTGATTATTCCAATTAGATTTAGCATATTCTTTGTCAATTTCCTTTGTCAAGTTGCTAGGTAGTTGAGCATAGTAAACTAAACAAACAGTCACAAGATTTATAAAGTGCCCCAAATTGAACTAAGGACAAACAAGAAGAGTCTCTGTACAGTGGTATTGGTACCATTCAATTGGGCCCTAATGTAGCGGTCTAATAGGTCTTATTGTCATTTTCACTCCTCCCCCCTACTAAAGCCTTGATTAATTTTTTATTTATCATACATGATTATTTGTTTGAGATACTGGAAACAACCATGGGTGATATATAATTTAACCCATCCACTAAAAAAAAAAATCCTAATGAAATCTAATATGTCATATTAAGATTACCATGATCTCTATATCGAGGCACAAAAAGTCAATAAAATATAATTGCTACTATTACAAATTACTAGTACGGGAAACAATTTTTTTTGTTTTTATTTTGGTAATGATTGTTAATTCCATTACCCTATTTAAGATTTAAAGCACAAGACATCTCTATACTCATTCAATACAAAATCACACAAGCCGGATTTACTACGACAATTAGTTCTATCATTTTTTATTAGTGACTAGAGGATGCAAATGTATCATACTGCACCAATTTAAAAATATTGGAAGAATTAGGGGCCTTCACACGACATATGCATATCTAATTCTGACGCTTCTTAGTTTTGGTAAAGTTGCTAAAAATTATTACAACAATGTGCTAATTCATCTTAGCTTGTACTACCTAAAGAACCTCTCTGTATTGAAATATAGGGTTAAGGCTACCACATCTTTGTCCCCCATACCTCAATTGAGTTGAAAATATACTGGGTATGTTGTTGTTATTGTGGTTGCTTTGTTGACACTTTGTTAGACTCAAAACAATCTTTAGCAGATAAACTTGTCAAATTGGGTAACAAGGGCTGAAACCTCTATGCAATATTCGCAGTTGTCCCTTTCTCAAGTAAAAGGTTCGATTATTTTAGACCACGTCAACGCCATACATTAGGGAACACAAATTGGGGTCAATGTTGTCAACTTTAATGTTTTTCCTTTTGTAGTTTTATCTTAGAAGGATCTATCTAGGTGCAGTGTTCAGTCGTGATATAATGTGATGCACCTTCTACTTTAGAGCTAGCTTCATGCCCTACTCTTTGTATTTTTACTTTAATCAATAAAATCGAGAGAATATCCATCAGATACAGTTCTGATTTTTATAAAAAATAAAATAAAAAATACCAGGATGATTTAGACGTCTTGGCACTTTGAAGAACCGAATGTGCAAATATTCAAATATTAAATTTCATATCTGACGGACTCTTCTTCTCAGTCCAGAACTTCGAAGCTGCCGAGATTCAAGTATTGGCCAACAAAGTAGCTTTTGAGAAGTCTGTGGCATATTCCTGAACTAGACTCCAAGAGCAATTCCTTTTGAATTCAACTTTTTTTATTTTTTATATTTTATTTTTTGAATAGAACTTGCCTATTTGGTCTAGAAAGTCCATTTTCTGAATATGCACCTATCAAGGTCCTGTAGAAACATAGTTGAGCAACAATATTAAAATAAAAATATGCAATGTTGCCATTATAAAACGACTTGCGATGACAGATGCATGCATCATTAAACAGAAGAGTTCCTAATACTACACAATAAGAAAAGTTAATAAATAGTAAATATTAAACAATAAAAATTTTAATAAAAAAAGTTACTAGACAGTAATATTAGATAGGGGGCTTCTTTTTTTAGCCAAAAAGAACGGATACCATTGACTTTAGAGTGTAGAACGGCAGAATACCGAAGAGGATATAAGTCTAAGATGCATATTGCAACTATTTAATCCTTAGTCAGCAGTTTCTCCAATATTATTTCATTGTAAAATCAGAACTAAGAGCAGTGCATATAACTAACTCATGGTATATTACATATGATGACTAACCAAGTCTACTTCACACTGAAATTTCCTATAATTTAAATTACTTGAAAGAGAAGCAACATTTTAAACTTTAAAATACCTAATTCATACATAAGGACAAGCCTGCTGATCAAGAATCATTAGACCTTTAGTGAAACCAGGGAGGTCACTAAAGCTATCAAACTTTGCAAAAATACCCAGATGACGCCATTTTTGCAAGACTATCTGCTACCGAGTTGGTTTCTCTATAAACATGAACAACATTGTCCTATCTACTTTGTATTATATGGTTAATCTTGTGTAAAATGAAATAAAACTGCCATAGGGGTAGGCCAAAGATTTCCGCTTTCATATTATCAACTTCTCCTAAGTAACGAGCTTCTCTATAGAGAAAAATTTCATTCTCTCCTCTTTCTTCTTTTTTAATCAATCATTCTCTCCTCTTATAAGAAATCCACAACCTGAATTAGAATCTATGCCTTTGGACGAGCCATCAATGTTTAGCACATAGGAAGCTTGCATCGGCCCCTTCCAAAATAAAACCTTCCTAGTGCGGTGGCTTGGAACAAATTTAGCATTTGGAAAGATACCCTCCATAAACAATTTCTCCAGTAGACTCTGAACTTTTGGGTAGTAAACAATCATCAATTTTTGCAAGTGATCCATAACCATGTTTTTAATGAGCTACTCAGGAATGGAGGTTTCATCATATAAACTTTTATTTCTTCACTTCCAAAGTTCCCATAGTATAAAGATAGGCGTAAGCATCATTTCCACTTTTCTTGCTGATATAAAGCTGCCCACAGACCACCAAACTTGTATCATATGCATACCATTGCTGCAGATGGTACAGGGACCCCAAAAGCTTGTGCAAAAGTTTCCAAACGTTCCTAGAGTCTGGGCAGTTGATAAAAACATGTTGAAATATCTCTTCATTATCCCAGCATTGAGTGCAAATTGAAGGATTAACTTGTATTCCAAGAGAACAAATACCTTGCGAAAGCGGGAGGAGTTTATTACATAGCTTCCAAATGAAGAGTGAAATACGAAGAGGAATATAGGAATGCCAAAAATTACGCAAAGAGGTAGCAGCCGCGTGGTGGCTTCTCAAGGTCTCATAGGCCGATTTCAATGTAATTGTTCCCTTTGTTTCCAGCTGCCAAATACCGGCATCTTCACCCTCAAGAAATTGTTGTTCAGACTGCTAAAACAACACTTGCCGTTTAAGAGAAGTTCGACTAAAATTCTTCTACGAAAAACTCCTTTTGGTTAAAAAATTACCTTATACTTAGTGCAGGTTGAGATGGTGTTTCCGTTAGTATATCACACATATAACACTCAAGACCGACCAATTATCATACCAAAAACTCCTATCTCCACTATGCATCAGTATCTTTGAATGGCTCGTTTCGAAGTAGTCAACCTTTTCAATCCTAGACCAAGAGGTCTTTTTACGGGCTGAGGGTGACAAGGAGAGTATGAACTTCACCTATGACTCGCATTTGTTTTTAATCTTCCACCATAGCTTGAGATAAAGTGCTTTGATAACATCACTAAATTTCCTTAATCCAATGCCATTTTCAACAATTGGAAAGGATAAATGGTCCCATGATCTCCACTGTCGCTTGCCTTCTTCCGAACCTTGCCAAATGAATTTTTGACACCTTCTTTCCAATGCATCCAATATTGACTTTGGAGGTTCTAAGGAAAAACATGTATACCAATGGCTGATAATACATATTCTATGAGAAGCAACCCGCCACCTTGACTTAGCATTTTATTCTTTCAACTTGCAAGTTGTGTATCCATGGAATCCAAATGGTATTGAAGATCAATCGCCTTTTTGCTCCCCTTATAGAGCCTGCAACCTAGATATACAAATGGAAATTCATCCCGTTACATACCTAGTACCTGCTTTATTAATTGAACTCTCCCTGGAAGGCATTTTTCATCAACATAAAAATGATTTTTTTGACGATTAATTCGTTGACGTGATGCAACCTCATATTATTCAAAAAATTTATTTAGCTCTAGTAGTGAAGACTTCGATCCTCTGGTGAATAAAATTAAGTCATGCGCATCCGCAAAACAAAGATGCGAAACACTTATAATTCCCTTAGTCCATCACCAGACATAATTTCAGCTCATTCAAGTCACTTCTCAGTGCCAATTTCTCCATTCTACACTACAACTGTATGGCAGCCGTACACACACGTAAACATTTCAGACAAGGCTTCCAAGAACAACATGAATCACATACACCAAAAACAGCTGTAGGTCCATGCACATTTCTTTTAACAAAACCAACCTAATGTAATCTTTTGTCTAAACTAATCACTGATATCTCCTATCCCATTCTTTTTTATCAATTCGAGATCAAAACCTCTGTTTGTATATTTTCATCAAAACAATCTCGTCATATGCAAAAATTGGCAGATGAATACTATAAGTTAATTTCTTTCTTTTTTCTCAATTGTAAATATATTAATTATCAATTTTATGAAGGCACATACAAAACATCTCCTATACTACATGTTCACAATTACATCATCCTTTGACTTATACGCAGAAAAATTGCCTCAAAATTAATAATTCATTATTTCTTTTCCTCCCTCTTAAAAAGAGTTCAGCTCTCCACCACAATTCATGTTTGATACAATTTAACATTGATTCCAC